CCCCCCCCCCCCATCCAACCCAGTCATGTATTCTGCAGAAAATTCTTTCCTGCTCCAGTGTTTACTCATTGATACAATTGCCATATATTATAATAGCCCTTATTGGTAGTTCAGTCGAGCAGTATTTCACTTCGGCATTTTGTAACACCTACCCTTTCCCCCACCCCCTTTTTTTTTCAGAGCCATTTCTATTTTGTTTTTCAGCATTTTTTTTCAGTGCATCTTTATCTTTGAAACTCAGATGTTTAAGGCTTGTTTACATTTATAGTTTCATTCTATTTCATTGGGTAGTTTACCCAACCCAAGAAAAAAAGTTTCCTGCTTTCTCTGTAGTCTGTATTTCACCAAGTTCCCCACCCCCTTCCCTCCTTGGCCACATTTCATGACAAGACCATACATTTGTTTAATGTTCACATTTTAAGCTGTTACAACACTATTGCTTCAGAAATGTCTCGTTTGTTAAGGTCTATATGAGGTTATTTATCCAAGTACCATATATTATTAACTGACTCTTAGAGCAGACAGAATTTCATTTTATTTTCTTGTATCTAGTTTCTCCGGGTTCCTTCTAGTTTTCATTTCTGTAGGTATTGGCAAAACTTACTTTTTGTTTTTGTTTCATAAACTTGAAAGGGCAAATGCAAAGCAAAATTCCTTTTTCCTCTTTATAAACCTCTTTTTAAAGAGGAGGTATTTTTTCTAATTGGATGGTCTTTTCCCTCTTTGGGTGGTCTGGGCGGAGATGTCATGCCTAGCTGCAATTCAACTGATGGCTGTAGCTGATAAAGCTTCCTTAATGATTTATCACTTTCATTTTCTATCCCATCAGGAAAAATTGCCAATTTCTGGGTTGGTGTCCTGGACCTTTTTTTAAATGCAGGGTTAAGTAAACAAAATACTTACTTGACTGGCTTCTCTGGGACCAACTCAAAAGTACAAAAGGTGAAGTACAGAGTATCATAATTCCCAAACTTTAGGTACCAGTGAGGTAATAAGGCAAGACTTGCACCATATGAAGATTGCCAAACTGTTTGTCTGTTTTGTTTATTTTGCCTACCTGCCCCCCTCCTTTTCAGAAGTGGGGGGGGAACTGCTGCAGCTCAGATTACAGCCTTGCATAATGTCATTGTCTGGATTCTCATAAAATGCTGATGACTGTTCTCAGTGGTGCAGATTAAAAGCTATATTTGGATCTCCCCCCCACCCCCAAGGATGTTAAGGGCTACAGGAAAGTGATGCGAGGATAAGGAAAGAAGTTGGTCTTAAGACACTGGATTGAGACAGATAGATAGGTTCAGTTTGTCATGCTGGATAAGTCTTAGGACCAGACCTTAAAAAATGAATGCCTAGATAGAACTCTTAAGTCTGCATTTTAACTTGATTTCCACCCCCCCCCCCTTCTGATACCTTTTTCCCTAAGAGTGTTTCAGATTGAGGAGACTTCCTTCCTTCAGTGTGTAGGAAAAACGATTATATATGAAGCACCCATGATGAGTGACATGTACAAGCCCCAGAGCTTTTTTTATTTAAATTGTACTGTTATAGGTACATACAAAAGAAGAGTAAAGCACACAGGCTGTCTTGTATTTTGCCTTGCAGTTCTTGCAAAAAACACTGGGCAGCTTTTGTCCTAAAATACAGCTTCAAGGACTTATTAATATTGAATGTATAACGTTAGGTACTGCCTTCCAGTTTTGTCACACATAGTAGCTCTGTGGCAATGTTTCTTTTACTTTCTCTTCTGATTTAACTGATAAAAGCTAGAGCAAGAAAAGATCTCTGAATGCTATGCTGAATGCCTTTCCCCCTTGGATGCAGTATGTTGGTACAGATGGTGTTTATTTAATCATTCAACAAGTATTCAGCCTTGCCCACATTCCTGGGCATATCAGTTTCTATGAGAATTTTGTGGGACTTCTATAAAATCCTTAATTTTTTTTGTTAGCTGCTCATCCTTAAAATTCTGTAGCATATTAATAGTGCTTTGGGTTAAGCACTCCCAGTCAGTAACAGGGTCCTACTTAAGAGGTGTGCTATGCAAGTACAAAGAATTCCTGCCTCAGTTCAGAAGTCAGCTTTGACTTGATGAAACTTTTTTCCAGTTTTGTCTGGCACTGGATAAAATTGAATTAAACATCCAGGTATGAAACCAGACTAGGTGGTGTAAGACTTATGTGAATTTCAGCACTAATGACTTCCTTTAAAATTTATGTTGCAAGGATGGTGACTTTTTAATGGATATTTGTTAATGTTGAGTCCTTCTGAATACGGGTAAACTAGAACAAGAAAAGCTACTTGAAGTACTGGAACATGATTTGGTTTAGATTGGAGATGACATGAATACTGATCATTTCTGTGATTTTATTTTTTCTTTATCTGTGCTAACTGCTTCTATTACTTATGTGCCTTTCATTTCATACACATGTCTGTTAGCACCCCAAGGTAACTTATGTGCAATTCTATTAGTAACAAGTGTACTGTTACTCAGTTTGCTTTTATGAACAAGTTTTTAATTTTAAATTATTTCTGAGTGCCATTTTCTTGAAGTTCACTCTATATCTAGGCACTCTTTTTTGCAAGCTCTGCTTATAAACCAGCTTTTATTTACATAGGTGACTTGTTAAACAAGTGTTTCAGCTAAAGCGTGTGGCTTTGTTCAAATATTTACACTGCTGAATAAAAATCCAAACCACTTTTTAACTTCCTGCTTTTCCTAACAAGTTGAGGGGAAAAAAATCTTAATGTGGTGAGGGTACTTTCCTTTATTTGTAGGATTAAAAGTGCCCTTCATTCTTGTGTTTTTTTTTCTGAGAAACAAAGCCAGAAGCTCTAAACATAATTTACTCATTTG